CATGTTGGATGATAAGAAATAAACCAAGAGCTTTCCCAGCCTGGGGCCCTGACATATCTCATTCCTTTCTTCAATGCAGATATGCACTGCCAGGTAAAAGACAGCATGGCTGCATTAAAGTCAGCACAGCTACACAGACKTGATCTTGTTGGAGCTCCAGAGAGYTGAAAACACATGAGCTGTCCAGGGGACACTTTAGCTAGCATTAATCCAGTGGCATTTTTGCTTTTGGGCGAGTTAGGATATGAAGATGAGTTTCTGTGTTATTTATTCTGAACCTTGCCTTTTCTGTGTAACTGGGCCATATGAGCAGATTCATTGAAATCAAAAGGCTGCTTGTATGAATAACATAAATAACATAAAATATTTTGGTCCATGGGTCTGACCACTTCTGTGGGGTAGATTAGAAATCACAGTGCTCACATTTTTACTGCTTTTGTCCAGAATCCTTAATATACAGAATCACAAGCTTAGTWTTAACCACACAAGTAACATTAAAATAAGACAGAGTCTGAAAATTAGAAATGTATATAGCGTTTCTGCTGAGTTGGTATTTTCAGCTGAATCTGCTGAATCTATTGATGCATAATTTAAAACTCAATGTAGTCATAGCAAATATTTCCTATTAATTTTCCACTATTTAAGTGAAATAAAAGTATATAAAGTAAACCCTATAAAAGGAGTCATAACAGAAAGGGGATACTGGGAAATAGGGCAAAAGTTTTTTGTTGAGTTTGGGACTATTCTGATTGTGTTCTGTATGAACATACACCTCAAAAACAAAAAACTACTAAGATAAGGTGTTGTGTTCAATCCTGTCATTCTCTGGCTCTTCCCAATCCTATTTATAAATATGGTCTATTGTCTATAAAAATTGTCTTTCAGATRTAAGCCAGCATAGTGCAAAACTAAAAGTGATCACCTAACGCTCATGTAAAAAAGGAAAAAAAAAAACCCCCATAAATTAAAGATAAGAGGACATAATAATTATAAACCCAGAATACACCAGAGGAAATTTTAGACTGAATTAGTAGTGGGGCCACAAAGACTAGAACTCATATTAACATGTCCTGTTGTAGATCACTAGACAYCACAGAATGGTTTGTGAGAAACATCTTAGGTTAGTAGATACTCCCATCAAGGAACTCATTTTTAGGGAGAGTATATACACATCTTTTCCCAGAATTTTCCAAGAAAAAAGAACTCCTAACTTTCTAATATACCTCAAAAATTAATTACTTTACACTTCAGAATAATGCTTTCAGACAGTATCTCCATTTGGCTTGCAGCATAATAGAGGCTTTGAGGTGTGTTTTATATATAGGTTGTTTTTTTTTTTTAATTTTTGGATTTTTTAAATGAAGTTTGAATTCAGAAAATAATTGTCCATACCTCTAATTTTCCCCATTTTTTTCTTAAATAAATTAGGAAAATAGGGCTTTTTAAAACAAGCTCTAAAATTGCTATATTCATGATTGTACATCCAGCATCTATTACAACATCTAATGGTTTTTTGAATCTGATGGATGAAAACCCTAAAATTCTAAGAGTTTTCAGTAAATGAATACAAGGTGACTATTTTTTCTTTCAATTATGCAAACCCACACAAACCCAGAAATTTAAAAGAAAGTGTAAAAGATCATCAGCGTTTTTGTTCAAGTTTTGACTTTCATTTGATGAAGATTCTCTAAGGAAACTGTCTTTAGAGAATGGTGTGCAAAAGTCCACGTGGTCTATTTTATTCCATTTTCTGAGCTACTTCCATATTTTTCTATTAGTTTCTGTTTAAGCAAAACACTCTTTGTACTACACCCTCTAGCAATAAACCTCTTAACTGGCACTAAAAGCCTCAATTTATGATCTTTACTATCTTCACCAATCCTCTTTATTCTAATGAGCTGGATAAATGGGAATCCTGCTCTTAAGCACTAGTGATCAAGTTATCAGTAAACATTGGTTTTCCAAGGGGAGGGATGGGGGGCTGGTTGACAGAAATTGCTTAATTATTTCTCTGGCATTATACAATTCACATGTGTTGCTAACAGCAGAGAAACATGCAACTTAATGTATATTTTTGTAAAATATCACTCACTGTGCTATAAATTTCCCATTGGCATCAATAAAACCCCAGTGCAATTGAAATTCTTGGATATCTCTTTGCTGGCTAATTGTGATGCATTTTAAAAATTGTGCCTTTGTTTTTTAGGGAGTCTGCAATTCTTTCCTTCATCGCTGTGTTTCTAGATCACACATATTTCTTTGTGAATAGGAAGATACAAGAAATATCACCCAGTAGATGATATTTTGTAGTCACCTTCAGTTGGCATAGTATTAATTTTAAGAGACAATAAATAATCAAGAGCTAGAACTGAAATATCATCTAACATGAAAAAAGTCAAATATTAGGTTTGCTATCAGCAGTTAGAGCATCTCTCATAATCCTCGTATCAACGATTTCTCTTTTCTCAGMTTTCTTTTGTGGAAAATGCACATGTAAAACCATGACATTGTTTAATATCAAATTCCTATAGAAATCCTCACACAGTATTTTAGGCCCCAAAGAGATATACTGATATTCCAAAGACAGATCCTGACCCCAGTAACAAAAAAGGACACAGCTTACCAGGCAAAGGCTCCTGATCTGCATAGAGAGCTGGCAGCTCCACACATTTTTCTTCCTTAGGGTTGAAGCAGCAGTCAAAAGCTAAATACATCTCTTCCTTCGTGYCTGTGTGTTTCATGTGCAGTAAATCCAAGTGCCATGGATGTTTTAGCTCACTGTGTGGGCCAGTTACCTGAACTTTGTACACTGAGCCARTATCTGCCAGCTCATCCTGCAAGAGGAGAAAGAGATGAATGGATCTCATTTTAATTGTGCCAGAACAAATGTAGTTGGCAGCTGTATGCAACAGTTGAACAAACTTCACTAGTTAAAGAATCGGGGCAGATTTATAACCAGTACTATTTTTCCCCTTTCTAATCAATACAAAATTGATTTAATAACATGAATGAGGAGATGKAATGCTTGATGTTTGATATTACGGAACAAACAATGGCAGTCACTGCTGAAATCTGTACACAGAACAAGGCACAATGTTCATATATATTGCACTGATTCAGTAGATTATTTTTAGGCATAGAAGCTTTAGTCATTTTTTTAAATTTTGAACACTATTGGAAATATTTCTTGCAACCATAAAAATGGTGCAATTAATTATAAATTTGAAGGAGAACTCATCCAATTGGGAGGAAACATCCAAGAGATGCTCCATCTTCACTCTAGATACAGAAGCTGTACATTAAAATCTTGCATTCATATTTGAGGAAAAATCCAATGTAGTTCTACTGGGAATAATGCARCATTTGTAGGACATATTATTGCTTGAATAAGTGAAAGCAGATGAGGCCTTAGATACTATGTTTGTTTAAAATCAATATTCTTTTCCTAAAAGTAGAAAAAAAAAAGAGAGAAAACGGAATTTGTATTTTCCTCTTACTATTCTATATTTCTTGGATTCTTTCCCCTGCTCCTTCATTTAAATATGCTCAGATAATAGAAGTCCATGTGACCTGATTTCAGCCTTTCCTCTGACAGGGCACTTCCAGTTTCATACTACATTTTGTATTTATCAGAGGTTCTTGGAAATAACCTAGGAAAACCCTCTGAGTGCTCCTCATTTTGTAACATGTTTGTGGTTAGCATCAAAGTGTGGTTAGTCTGATAAGTTCCTCTTTCATTAAAGAGGAACATCAAAATACAGCAAATAATTTCTTTACCTTGACCATAAAGTTCAAATTAGTRAGAGGAAAAAGGAAGAGACAATAAATAGCAGGGGAAAGAAAAAGAGAGAAACCATACTAGAAAAAGCAGTTCAGAGAAACTGGTGGCAGTGATAAATAATTGCATGAGAGAGAAAAGATAAAAATTAACCTTCTGTATATTTAATTTCATTTATGATTCTTCCTTTTCCATCATCAGCCCCCAAAGCTCTACAGTATCCCATGGCATATTGTATGCTTACAAACTGCTTATTTTTGTGAGATCAACAAAGCCTGTAAATCAGTACCTGCAGCGTGGTATACACTGATATTCACCAAGGGACCAATTCACTCACTTAAACATTCTCGATATGAGACACTGGGAGAATTTGCTCATTTGAAAACCATTGTTCATATGCTGCTACCTACAAACAAAAATGATGATCTGTGCCAAACTACACAGAGGACTTAAAAATCAATTTTGTAGTTTAGTTTAAGGAAACAATTTATCCCAGAATTAAGTGGATTATTGGCTACATGATTCTTAGGATTTTCTTGCAATAGAGAAAGGTTGAAGTACTTTGATCTGAACTGATTTTCCTCTGACTTGAAGTGGTGATTCATGTTGCCATAGAACATAAAAGAAAGGCATATTGGATCCTCTTCACCACTCAAGCCAGATCCAGTGATATCCATTATCCAGAGATCTGATGACTTCATGTTGATTTCAGGCAGTTTAGGACTAAGAGTCGACCTTCTACCTTTAAAAATTTTCAAAGAGAAAGGAAAGATGACAGCATGAGAGAATGGCATAATCTAGTGGGATCGTAGCCTTTTCAGCACACAAACAAAGCTCTTTTTTCAGGTCATGTTGTATCTATAGCAACTGCTCAGTAAGAAATACACATCAATATCTTTATTAATTTTTTTTTTTTGCAAAGAATTTAGCAGCTTAATATTCTTTCTSTGTTTAAAATTTAGTTTCAAAGGCACTTTTTCATGCCAATGTATTTTACTTGTTATGTTTGGAAGTAATTGCTAAGATTGTTCAGCCACCTTTTAGAGGTCTAAGTAATTGCTCTTAAAAAGGCACTCAGTGTTACTAAAGCCAATTTACCATTTAGGAGCACATAGCCACATGTCACATTTAGGCACCTAACCCAAAATTAACAGTTCTGATGAAATTTTCTTGCAACTAGATTTTACCTAGCAGTATAATGTGTGCTGTAACAGCATGAGACCGAGAGGTGACCTATAACAAACACCGAAAATTGTTTGCCAGAGCCTCAGATCAGTATTACTATSTTCCTCTCTTTTTATTCATTAATTAGTCTTATTCTTAATTTTAATTCTGTTTGAACCATTCCAGGGTAAGGGAAAATGATTTAATGAAGAGGAACAGCACAAAAAAAAAGTACTTTCTACAACTCAGAAAAACCACACAACTGAATCAAAGACACCTTATGTCTTAATCCCCTTGGAMAAACTTCTGTATTTCATTTCCTTTGCACTGAACTGGTTTCACAGGATTGAAGGAAGAAACATTTTACCACTTTTAAATGACTAAAGGTCCTGCTGCAAGTGTTCCTTTGCCAAGTACATCCAGGTTTGGATTTGCACAATTTATGGTGTAGTAGTAGATGTGAAATGAGCAGAAACTGAGCATAACAGAACTGCAACTTTGTGCTGTGCAATACTCTCACAGGTAAAGACCAGGCTCATTTCACTGAAGTAATTTTTCTTTGGATTTCAAATGAGATCCTAGGCTGAAAAACAGTACATAAAATTTAAGCTATTTATCACCACRAGGTGTACATCCCAAGCTCTGCTTTTTGAAATATGCTGTGTTTAATCTGGAAGGCAAGCKTTCCACACACAGCACATCAACAAGAGAATTGTATTAACTTTGACCTTACCATATGTAGCTTTGCTATAACACTAAGATCAATGTGAAAATTCTCATTTTCAATAAAAGAAAGATACCACAGAGATCTGACAGAGCTGTAGTCAAATACWTATATATATATACAAATGGGCAGCTGGGCAGGTCAGTTTTGCAGAAAAGCTTACCTGCTGTTACAAACTCACAAACAGTCTCACACAAGTCCAGATGAGAATCAGGCCAGTTCCATAATGGAAAGACCCATTCCTTGTCTGAATAATGGAAAGACCCATTCCTTGTCTGAATCTTGTGATTCCTTGACTGCTGCCATCTTGAAGTTACATTCCTGCCCCATAGTCTTCTCCATCATGTCCTATGACCACTTTTTGGAAATAACTCAGAGAAACAGCCTCCACCAAGAATGAATCCACCTGCCAAATAGGGAAATATTTAATAAAACAGAATTTTGACTTGAACTTCAGGGAAAATATAGGCCTGGATTCAACCAAGAATTTAAAATTTGTGTCTGTTCTTTTGTAAAATTTAACTTAACATCTCCCTTCTGAATCTAAGGATGCACACACTGATTATACMTAACATTGAATCCTATATTCATCATTAATGATGCATTGTAATTCCATTTAATCTTTGGACAATATGGATCACTGCATCAATTATTTCACGTTACATTAAAATCTGTATACCTCAACCTTCTGASAGTCAGTTATGACAAGATTTTGGTTCTAACTGAATTTCTATCTTTCAGTTATCTARTTTCTAAAACTTATCATATAACTCTAGGTATATACTAACAGTTCTAATGAAAATTTAGCCATCTAAAAGGAATATGTTCACTCTAAGYTTCTAAATTCTTCTCCAATAGTCAGAAAAGCCTGACTTTTTTGCTTTCCTTACAGAATGAAAATAATTGTGGAAACAGCAAATGGCAAAAAGAGTAAGGGAGGAATTTAAAATGAAAGTGAAGTGTAAAAGATGAGAGATGGGAAGGGAAGCAGAATGGAGAAGGCAAAGAGAGAAGCAAACACAAGCAGCAGTAGATGAGAATAGGGGCCAGAAAAACAAGATAAGGTAAAATGTGGAATGCAAAGAAAGAAATCATATGCCCCACTAAATTTCTGCTTGTTTTGTAAGAAAGCCAGATGTTCTGTATAAGGCCCAGCCAGGGGCCAGATGGASCTCATGGTAAAGGTTAGAAAGTTATGAACTGGAGTTTGAACAGCAATGTCTAGGATTATAATTAACACCATAATTCAAAAAAAACCCCCGCTTCAATAGTAGGAATTTATTAAAGCGGATGTCAAAATAATTTAAAAGGGAATATATTAGCAAACTGATCTCTAAAAAATACAGTCRTTGTCAAAGTCCTATATGTTGTCCCTGTTACTTTTAAAATAAAAATAATGGAGAAGTAGATTTTCTGCTAATATTGAACGTGCTTTCATACAACAAAAAGATCTTTTTTTTTTTTTTCTCATAATAGTCAGAACTCAACAGCAGATTGTGAGCAGAAATCATTAACTTTGCTAATTAAGATATTTTAGGAAATAAACCCATGTATGAACATAAATTAAAATAATTACAATAGAGWGCTGTCTTCTGCACATAGGTATAGCTCTGAGAAATTCACAAAAATGAAATTTAGAAATTCAGTTCATTAYTGATTCCACTTTTATCCTAATAAGTGCTGTGGTAATTGTCTAATAAAATTATTTCACAAAAATCTTAACCTCTCCTTACAAATGTGCACATTAGCAGTGAGTTTTTTCAAACTTGTTTGTTCCATGAGTGAAAGCCTAATTCACAAGAGAARAATTTTATTTATAGTAGTCATCTAGAAACMCYRGGTTAAAATGAATTTTTAACTAAGYAAAATTTTTGTTTCTTGCCCAAACTTACTGATAGATATTAAGCTGKTGTTTTATGTGGGATTGTGGTTTCATAATCACAGAATGAAAAAATCTCATAGCAATTTCTGTAAATTATTTTGAATCACCAATTTTTCAATTCTTTCCCACCTGTTCTACCCTAAATTTGGAAGAGAAGAAGTCAGAAGGATAATCACAGAGGTTCTTCCCTCTAATCTGCTTTGAATTGCTCRTGTGCAGCCTTTGCTGCCACTTGGGTACCTTCTTGTACAGGAAATATATAACACCCACATTGGTCATCTGTGAATATCTGAAGGTAAATTCTGTCAAGGTTTCCAAATTCTTGTCTATCCTGAGCAGACATTGAGTGACATTTAATGCAGTTCTAAYCCCTGCTCATGTAAGACTGCGTTATTGTGCCATTACCTTGTTTCTTTGGAATTTTCTTCCTTTGGTTAAAGATGCATGAAGTTTCCTCACACTTGTGTYCCCTCTTTTGCCACAGAGGGTGATACAAGCATTTGCAAAACTCTCTGCTCCCCAGTGATCACCAATATGTGCAGAGACAACATACTTAAAGACTGTACAAAAAGAAAAAAGAAAAGTTTAATTAAAACTAATTAAGTACAAGGTGTACTTAGAATAAAACAGCAGCATAGAGTATTTAGTAGGACTATTGCTTTATTTTTTTTAATTTCTGCAGCTACAAAAAATCTGCTGCATGGCAAATGAAACAATCAGGTTACTCTTTATGAATCTGATCTCTTCATGMTAATGAAGACTTTCCATTAACTTAGAAATATGAAGGAAATTGGACTTGGACAATTTAGACTTAAGAATCTAGACAAATTCTGCCTGATTCTGTTTCACTGTKCAAGATCTGGAAAATAAGAATTCATTTGAGTTAGTTCAGGGACTGTWAGAAACTGAATTATCTTTGCAGTACATAAAAACTAACACAGGTCAAAGAGCAAGAATAAGGTTATGCAAATAACAGAGACATGCAACATAGTATCTGAATGACAGCACATATGTATAAAAATTTATAAAACACCATTAATAACTTAAGGAAGGAAAGTATAAACTTTTTGCCTCTATACTGATCCTATAATGTGTAAATGAATTTCTATAGTCAGATCAGATTTTCTTCTGAGGAAGATCATTAAATTGCATACATATTCAGGCTCATACAAAAAGAGCAACCAAAATTTTTCAAATGACATTGTTAATGTACTGTCTTGCTGAGTTAACATTTTACTAATGTAACACTGTACTTTCTTTTAAGGTCGTGAAGAGGTTTGAGTATTCAGGGACCAGAACTTCTGGAACTTTAGTTTAGCAAAGAAGTCATGGCTCTAATTACTTTTATCTCATGTGTCACTGCTAACTTTTCTGAACAAATGCAGGACTTCTATAAGTCTTCACATTCCAAGGGCATCTTTGAATATGGCCTGAAACTCTCAGCATGGCAAAAAAATGTAGTCCTTAGGAATAAAAACCACTAAAATGTTCTGTGCAATGAGACTTACTTCTGATACTTATGTTTGCAAATAAAGCTATTATAAGCTAAGTAATTAAACAGTAACTCTAGAACAAATCATTTCCATGGCTTTAAATGGGTTCTTTTCCTTTAAAAATCCCATTATATTGCTCAATTTTTCTCACTTTGACTCATGTAGAAGATTTAGCAACTGTAAAATCCAATATGCAACTTAACTGGAAAATTAAAATTTAAGTGGTCAACATTCTTGCAATGCACAGATGAAGACAGGTGCAATAGAGCCACTGAAGATATCAAATCCAAACAAAGCACTATATTATAACTATGGCATTGATTTTTTTTTCCAAGCAGTTAATTTACTCTGTTTATATCTTCTAGGTGCTTTTACCTGGTAGTTTTGCAGTCCTCAGTGACTGCAGGGAATTCTTTTACCAGATCCTTGTCTTCTCTCTTAAGACTGAGGCAGCAGTTACATCATAAGTTCAGTTGTTTTGTCTGTAACTCTTCTAGGTGAAAAGACTTCAGATGCCAGCCCTGAAAGCCTGGCACATCATCACAGCTGACCCAAATCTTGTATGCATCTCCCAGATCTCCAGTCTCAACCTACACCATATAGCATAAGGGAAAACATATAGTCAAGGCTGTTTCACATAGAGAGATTTTCCCTAATCTCAGTGTAGAATCCCTAAACTTAACAGTAAACAATGGAAAAGTTGAGCTTGAGGCTGGGATAAGTGTGATGATAGAATCCTAGTGTAAAATTCCTAAACTTTACAGTAAATAATGGAAAAGTTGAGTTTGAGGCTGGGATAAATGTGATGATAGAATCAATCCTTTTTTTTTCATGGTGTAATCATGGTGGGGTTTGTCTCCCTTGCTAGTATGTAAGCATGGTACTCTACCTTCAGATTGAGTCAAGGTTAAAATCAGTAAGATCTGTGGATTTAGGCTTTTAGACAAAAGGCAACAGGGAAAATTGTGACCCTACTGGATAAAGAAAGCATTAACTTWCAATTAAAGATTCGAATATCAGCAGCCAAGCGAACTGTTAATTCAAAGATGATTACTATGAGCCTGGAATCACAGAATTGTTTACGTTGTAAAAGTCCTTTAAAATCATCAAGTCCAAGTATTAACACAGTACTGCCAAGTCCACCACTGAACCATGTCCCTGAGTGCCACACCAATATGTCTTTTGAATACCTCGAGGGATGTTTACTCAACAACTGCCCTGGACAGCCTGTCCAAATTCTTGACAACTCCACTGGTGAAGAAGTTTTAACTAAATTCACTTTTGTTAAATGACTTGGTTTAGAACATAAAACTACTTCATAAACAATTCTTCATAAAAGGAAAGAGATATTTCTCAATAAAAAGAAATCATGAATGTTACAGAGATAACTCAGTAGGACAACACAGCCCTGTTCCCATACCACATGTGGGAAATTCAATAAATGGTTGCTGATTGTAGGTAATGATCTGCATGACATTAATCACTGCATGATAAGTCTTCTGAACAGCAGGAAGTAATGTGGCAGTCATTYACTAGGCAGCTACAGGAAAAACAGGATGTGATTTTTGAGTGAAACAACTGAGAATTGGTATTTTTAAAAAGYAACAATTCTTTTTATTAAGTATCAAAACTACATAATACAGAAAATGTTGCCAGTGGCTTTGTTCTTCTCCCRTATTGCTGCTTTTGGTTTTCCTCACACCAGTCACAACATAAGATTTGGTGATTTTCCAGGGAATAAATCCTTTATGCACCCTGTAGCATCACAATAAGAAACTGAAATTGGCTTTACACCATCATGCCCTGGCTCTGGCAGCCTCACTACCAAATTGGCTTCTAAGACCAAGCACAGACCTCCTAACAGATTCATTTATTCTGCTTCTCAGCAGAGCTCCGAGTGTGACAGCCCTTCTCTGCTGGCCTTGTGTGCTTAAAGCTGGTTCATGTGCATTTGCACAGCGGACTCAGACACGTGGGGAAGTATCAGCTACCCTATTCTTATTAGAGAGGTACTATATTTAAAMAAATATGCTTTTGCCATTTTGGGAGACCTGGCCACCATTATTAATAACTTCTATGAAAATGAAAAGTAGTAAAATATCAGAGTGATGAGGAGGAATAATTAATTGAAAATAAAGCAACCTGCCCAAACCATTTTACGGGAACTTGAGCAGTTTATGATGCAGAACTTATAAAAAGATGCCTTTGGTWGAAAGGAATTGCTCTTGATGGATTGAAAGATCCCTTCCGGTCTGAATTTCTTAAGGTAAGTATTATTTCTTAAAGTAAGTATATATTTTTAAGGTAAGTATATTTCTTAAGGTAAGTGGCATTGCAATGCCATTCCTACAGAATTTCAAGACTCAGGGCATTGTTGAAGGATGAGGGACGAGGTCCTTTCCATTGCTGTATAACAGCCCTGGGTTGCATGGAGCCTCAACTCCTGAGCTGCAACTCCACAGGACTCATAAAAGCCACACAGCAGTAGTTTTACACCAAAGAGGCCACCAGGCTTGTTCTCTCTCTAAGCCTAACCTGCTCTGCCTGTCTCTGGGCCATCATCCTCACCGAGCTCAAAGCTGTCCCTGACTTGGTCTCCATTCTTGCCCAGAAAAGGGAAATACGTGGGCAGAATTCCGCATCAAGATTTTTCATTCACACTGTGTGTGTTGCAAAGGATATAATTAGCTATGTATCATTAGCTGTGGTGGGCTAAGTGGATTAATCCTCGCAAAATGTGCATTCCACCTTATTAAACTTAACTGGAATTATTTGGGTTCATTGAGAGGAGAGTGCACAGATTCTTCACCCATTTAAACTACAATTCTTTCACAAGTAGCAAAATCACRGCTTCTTCTCTTTCAGAACCAGACTACTGACTTTTAAAATCACTGCCTGCAGATTTTCTTTCTCATACATGGACCCCATGACTGTATCACACAGCTACTCTAAATGCTGTGAACAACTTATTYCATAAAACTCTCTGTTTGGGAGTTGGAAAAGTACAGAACTTGGTTATTTTTATGTGACAGGGCAAGCTGTAATTCACATTTTACTTTGTCTTCTGCTAACCAAATTTGCAATTCTCTAGGTTKCTAAGTTGTCATAAATATATGTGTTACATTCCTTGTAGGAAATGCACAGATGAGACATATAGGAAAATAATTCCATAACACAGGATGGACTATTTAGAAGGCACAATTGTCTGTTTTGTTTCTCAAATCACAATTTCAATTAATTCCGTGACTGCCTTTGCACAAGCAAGTACTAACAATCATGCTGTTTATGATCCATGGAATTAAACACCAACTATTTTCAGTTGAGTGTATTAAATAGTTGCTCTTTTTCATGGGTTTGTTTTTTCCCTCACAGTTCTGGCAAGSATTAGCCTTTTTGTTCAGATCCATCATTGTACCCAGCACTGCCATTACATCCCTCTTGTAATCCTTTTCTGAGCAATTTAATACAAGAAGTTTTCCTTTGGAATATGGCATTCTATCTTTGATCCCAAAATTGTCTTTTCCCTCCATCAATGTCTGATAATTGATTCAACATGAACTTTGAAGCAGACAGACATGTAATCCATCACAAAGTACATATCCAGTGAATATCCTGTTTTGAAATTTGTTGAGTTTTTGCAAAAGGATACTTTACCTCATTCATTATTTTAATTTCCTAATTATTTTTTCACTTTTACTTCTTCTGAATAGTTATATGTAAAACTGAGATGTTGAAATCTTAGCTGAATTTGGTATGATTTGTTGTATACTAAACAACACAAGTCCATTACATAACTAAAGGAGCATGGCTCTTAAAATCAGGAGGAGCCACTGGACTTCTGAAGATCTCAGAGACAGGTAACTGATAAAGATGATTAGAAAATGTCATAACATTTTAAATCTTTTAGTTTTTGTCTCACACAGGGCTTCTCAAATCTCAAGGTGATTAAAGCTTTTTAAATTTTACTGTTCGGGTGCAAATTTAAATTTAGTTCTTTTTATTTCTTATCCCTGTTAAAGCAGAAGAAGAAAAACACAAACAACCC